ACGAAGTCTCGTCAAAGTTTCTTCGGATTGATTATATTTATCAGTTATTTCTACCCGCTCCGCTTTCTTTTTTTTTGATGCGTTAGATTCAGGTTTGATTAAACTAAAAAATGAAAAATTATAACCTTTTTTACGAATTGATTCCAAAATATCTTCAAGTTGTTTATCTTTTTCGATATTTTTTACATTAAGTTCATAATTTACTTGATGAATCTTAAGATATTGATCCTGATATTTGTCACGCTCTGCGAGTAATGATTTTATTTGTTCCGTTAGCAATTCGATTTTATCTGAATTACGTTGGCAAAGTTGCAACTCGTTCATTCTTCATACTCGGTGTAAAATTTTCTTTGGGGAACTTTCACGATTTTACACAAAAATAATTAAATTTTTTTTTAAAAAAAAGGTGCATTGCATTTATAAACTTATAGAAGTGATAATAGCAAAAACATTTTTATCACTTCACACGGATTTTTGTAATACACTATAAAGCATACGAAATTGGATAAATTAGAATCAATGGTACTCGGAATCATATGTTCAAATCCGATAATAAAACCAACATCCCCAACCTCAAGTGTTATATAGTACGATATGCGAATAAATTTCTATTGGATTGAATGTTTTCTAAATTTTACCGTAATCGTTCATTTCGAACAATCTTCAGTTTGTTTATATTTTTTTTTTTTTAAGTTCTGAATTCTCATTCGGATAGTTTATATTTTTCGGAAATATTTCTGAGCTTTTCTTTGAGTTTATATTTGTCTTTACGCAGCATTGAATTTTCTTAATGTAATAGTATTTATTATATTACTCATCTGCCAGAGCAAATGTAACGAAAATAGCCAATCACGAATTGATGAGCGGGAGGACAGACTATTTTGTATCACATTCATACAATTGAAACCTCTATAATCGACAATTAAATGAGCATGACTAAAATTTGTAAAGCATAAAAAATTAAAATTAAATTCAAAATGTTATCCAATAGAAATGACTAAAGTTTTGGCTAATTTTTTATATAAATAAATATTTAAAAAGTTATTTCGGTTCAAAGTAATGCCGATTTTACTATGAAATTAACAAATTGAGACTATGACAAAATTGTACGACGGTACAATTTCTATATCAATAGATAGACCTTCGATAGTTGTATCAATCTGCATCTTTTTTTTTATTGTACATGCCTTTAACGAAAAAAGTTATAATAGCGAAAAAAAGACTGCGAGGACGTACTCGAAACATTAAAACTGGACAACTTGAAAAAGTTTTAAATGTTTCTGAATCGGATTTTGTTTCCTCTGAACATTCAGATTTTGTTTTCTCTGAAAATGAAAGCTTTTCAAGTGAATCGGATGATAATTTTGTAGACAATTTACAACAAACAATAAATAATCTTGGGGAACTTGAGTTAATTTGGTTAAAAAAACGAAAAAAAAGTTCCAAAAATAAACTTGCAATATCAAGAGATATAAAATTTCGTAAATACGGTCCTTCGGGTGTGTATACAAAAGCCGCGCAAGGTGTTAAACCAATTACACAATACTTTCCAATTAAAAAAAATGAAGAAAGTACAGATAGTGAAAACAAAGATAAACCAGAAACTTCAGATACAGATTCCGATGTGAATGCCATTGATTTAGATGTAAACGATGATGAAAGTATAACCGATAATTTGGACAAAGATAATAATTCTGATAATAGTAATAATGATGTTTTGGATACTGAAAATAATAATGAAAAACTTAAAAAGCTAGAGTATATTCTAAACAATAAAAAAAAACAGACAGCTTATGATTATCTACAGTATTGGGCAATACATAAATATTTTGTTTATTTGGATATGCATAAGTTAGGTAAAATACAAGCAAGTGAATGTATCGCAAAAGAAGTTTATAATAAAGGCTTTTATCAAGCAAGAAATATTCAAAAATGGGCTAAGTTTTGGCTTGAAAATGGAAGTTTATATAAAAGTATGCAAGGTTGTCATCAAAAAACAAAGTCACTTATTGATGATGAAGATGTTATTAATAGTAGTTTTGTTTTTATTCGGCAAAATGGTGGGAAAACCACTCCAAAGGAGTACTTTTTTCACAAATGAAAATTGCGATAGATAAGAAAATTACAGTGAAAACTTCTCGGATTTGGCTCAAGAAAATTGGATTAGTACCACAATCTAAGAAAAAAGGAATATATTTTGATGGTCATGAAAGAGAAAATGTGTTAGAATATCGTATAACATTTTAGAAAAAATGAAGGAACTTGAACAATTTATGCCAACATTTGTTGGAGATGAGATGACACAAATTAATCCAGAGATTCCTGATGATCAACAATTGCATATATTTGTCACGCATGATGAATGTTTATTTTATGCAAATGATGATCGTCCAATTGTATGGACACCAATTGGAGAACCTTCACTTTGAAAAAAAGGTCAAGGTATATCAATAATGGTTAGTGAATTTTTGCTTGAAACAATTGGCCAGTTAAAATTAACTTCTGAACAATCATTATTAATCCAAATATTCCTATTGAGACACATAAATATTTAAAACCCAGAAAAAATGAAGAAGGCTGGTAGACAGCAAATCATTTAATTGATCAAGTTATAAATTATGCAATCCCTATTTTTGAAACTATCTATCCAGGTGTAATTGCTGTAATGGCATTTGATAATAGCACTAATCATGGTGCAATGCCAGAAGATGGTTTAAATGCTACAAAATGAATTTTAATCCTGGAGGAAAGCAACCATTGATGCACTCAACATATTTTGGATTAGAAAATACATCACAATCAATGGTTTTTCCATCTGATCATCCAAAATATCCAATTCAAGCTAAAGGTATGCGACAAATTCTTGTAGAAAGAGGTTTATAGAGAGATCGTTTAATTGGAGATTGTAAATTATGTAAGGAAAAGGAAAAAACAACAGATCTTCAAAGAGTAGATTGTTGTATACGTCGAATTTTATCATTACAGCCCGATTTTATTGCACAGAAATCTAGGTTACAAACTGAAATAGAAAAAAAGAGCATAAATGTATCTTTTACCCAAAATATCATTGTGAATTAAATTATATAGAAATGTATTGAGGTACAGCTAAGCGATATACTAGAGAACATTGTGAATATACTTAGGCAGATTTACAAGAAATTGTTCTTAAAGCCTTAGATTCAGTTCCTTTAATTACAATTCGTCGTTACGTACAAAAATCTTGGTGTTATATGATATATATAGAAAGGGAATTACAGGTAAAATGGCAGAATTTGTAGCGAAAAAATATAAATCATATAGGAGGATTCCTGATAGCATTTATAATAAGCTTGATTTAGATATTAGTAAATAAAATTTTCAATTTGCATTAAAAATCGAATTTATGTTATTTTCATATTTAGTAAATATAAAATCATGTGATTTATCATATTCTCGATTATGATTGGCTTATTAAGTATCACGTAATAAATTACATAAGCAAATAAATTTGAGACTTTTTTTATTTTATAAATCGATTTCTTTTTACAAGTAGTTCTTAATTTTTTTTTACTAAATTAAAATTTAATCATACAATCAGATTTTATTCAAGATTTTTAATTGTCTATTATAGAGGTTTTGCATTGTACTAATATGTTAATATTTAAATAAAAATGCTACTGGAACATTAAAATTTAAAAACAAATACTACAGAGTATTAGTTTTGAAAATAATTATACTAAAGTATTTTTTTTTTTGAAGAAAAATACTACTAATATGTTAAAATTTAAAGTAAAATACTACTAGAGCATTAGTTTTGAAAATAATATACTAAAGCAATTCCTTTGAAAAAAATGTTATTGATGTATAAACTTCAAAGAAAATGCAACTGAAATAATAAATTTGAAAAAAAATGATACAAAGCATTCCTTTTGAAGAAAAATATTTCTGAAACATTAAATTTAAAGATTATGTACTGATAGCATTTCCTTTAAAAGAATACACTCCAGTCAGTAATATAAATTGAATTAGCATAATACATATAATATACATCAATTTAAATTTTTATGAATATTATCAAAAGATGATAAATATTTACGCATGCTTTATATAGGAAAAAATTTGCTATTTGCTCTATATGTAGTAAAAGTTATCATATATACTATATATACATATTAAATTTACCTAAACATAGTAAAATTTAAACTATTAAAATTATATAATTAGATATAATTGATATTTTTAATAAATAATCTTTTATATTTCATATAATTTGATAATTTTATATTAAAAATTTTCTTTATTCAGTTTTTTTTCATTTTCTTTGTTTTCTATATCAAATAATAATGTTTAGTTCTAAAAATAATAAAAATAGGCTAAAACATTTTTTTCTTCTGCTAAATTAACAAGTAAAAAAAGAAAAAAACAGGTTTAGCATTATTAGTCATATTAGTCAGAAGTAGAAATTAAACTTAGATAATATAATTCAATCCTAAAATAATTTTATCATAATTACATTTGTATTAAGATACGGCAAAATGTAATAGCAAATAAATAACAAATATCTTTATTAAATTTTTAGTTTATTCACAATATTCTATCTTGAGTTATCTTTCAACTTAAGTTAAAATATATGCTATTTATATAAACTAATAATAATAAAATGTGATAAATATACTGTATCTAATATAATATATATGACTAATATAATAAATAGATCTATCAAATATAATAAATTTAATAAAGTTAACAAATATAACAAATACAGTCGTCTTCCTTTATAGTCACATCCTTAGGGACCAAAAATAAAAAGTATGATTATAATAAAAAGTTACTATACAGGGGGATTTTTATTTATTGTTACTAAGTATTGGTTCTGAAAGGGTGTGATTATAAAAACACTGTGATTTAAATGAGATTTTTTTATATTGCATTAATAGGTATTAGTTCTTACGAAATATGTGCTTATAATGAGGAATTTATATGATGTGATTGTACAGGGGGTGACTATAAAGGAGGATGACCATATAATAAATATGGATCATAAGTCAAATATGACTAACCAGTCATATTTGTCAATTAAGTTAACTATAAATTTGAAGATCAATTTTGATGATCTTTTAATAATATTAATTTTGCAGAAGAAAAAAATTAAGAAGAAATAGAAGAAATATCTTTTAGTTTAAATACAGAATAAATACATATTAAAAGATTTCATAATCATAAAGAATCATATCAATGTTAGTTTAAAATATATCTATAGCTTAAAAAAGAAGTAATTGATAATAAAATAATATTATTTTACATTTTATATAATAAAAAAAATGGAAAAATAACCTTTGTAGTAAACACAAAAAAATACAAGCTAGAAATATAAAGAATCACATGAAGACAAGTGAGCATAAGAAATTTAAAGAACTTTTTAAACTATAACAAATAAAATTTATTACTAATTTTATAAAATAGTTGGCTTTTGATAAACTAAAAATCATATCACTTATGTAAAACATATATTTTTATACTAAAAATTACTTATTTATCAATTTATTTTCTAATTTATATGGATTAGTAATAACTAAGATTTCAAAATTAGACAGACATCTAAATGATAAAAGTAAAACTTAGTTAAATTATATTAAAACCTTATTGAAAAGAAACTAAAGGTTTAAATATTTAGTCAAATTTAAAATAAGTTTAAATAAGTAACTTTAATCATAATTTAAGTTAAATCTGTAATTATGAAGAATATAATACTTCAGATAAAATATGTATTTTTAAAATATCACTTTATAAAAAAAATAAATAAAATTGTCATAAGAAAGTTACACAAATAATAATTTAAAAAATGAATTTTTAAAAAGTATTTGTAATATTATTAAAGAAAATTTTATTCAAAAAGTTAAAATTTTCAAATACTGGAATCTGATGTTTGATGAATCTAATACTATATCTAATGATAAATATTTAGCAATCATAGATAATATGGGTAATATACTATTAAAATTAAGGTATGAGATATAGTAAATCATATGATTTGTACCTTAATTTTAATAGCATATTATCTATATATGGCATAGCAGGATTAAATGTGATTGGTTGATCTTTAAAATGATTATTGCATAGTAAATTCCTATAAAAAAGATGATCATCTAATTTTAAATAAATTGGCAGCTCTGAAAACGGATTAGCAAAAGTTGTTGCTAAAAAAATTCAAATGTATACCTTTTGTTTTTTAGACTGTTAAAGTAATTTGATAAATAGCGAGATAATTCGAAAACTAGTTCAGCATTTTTTATCACCAGAAAAAAGAATATAAAGCAAAATGACTACACAAGAAGCCTACCATAAAGATCTAGCTTCTTCTGATATGAAAAAAGGAAAAAGAAAGGCTTGATATTGTGATCTGAAAGATCAAGAAGGTGTCATATGTAATTATGAAAAACATAATGTATCCATTGTGTCTGAGAAAGTGATAATACCAAGTTCGAGTTAATATATAGACTTGGTCAGAAAAGCTTTGTGCCAAAAGCATTATAATAAACTAATAGTAAATGCTAAAAAATCTAAAATTAACAATAAATGTTATTACGTTCGATTTATAACTCAAATAAAATTCACAAAAATTAATAATGCTAAGACTAAACTCAGGAATCACAACGAAGATTCATAGTAAACG